TCCATACCGTCGATTCATTTTGACCAAGGTCCTCGGTAGACAACGAAAAACTCCAATCTTCCAATTCTGCTCTGTCGTATTCCAACTCGAGGAGATCTCGATTTTGTTGAGCATTTCTGCTGTCGTCCAACCTGAAATTTATCTTGCTCTTCAATCGTTCCACGGTCATTGAAATTCCAATCGGTCCATTCAACATACGCTGCTACGGCTATTTACTATGTCTCTTATTCGCTATTTATTTAGAGAAAATTTGTCTCATCTTTGAACGAAGCGAAGAAAAGAATCAACGATAATTAGGACACAACGATGTATAATCGGTGGGAGTATCAAACGGTGTCATTTGTGAATTCATATGCAAATGATCACTCGTAGAAAAGCAATAGCAAGACGAACCTGAGCCACTGTTGAACGTACTCAGCGTCCCAGCCCTCCTCCTCGACGAGGAGCAACGACGAGGATCCCATAGGACTCGGCAACTTGTACGGTGTAAAGTTGGTGGTCGTGGTCAGCTTGAGGCATAGGTGACTGTCAGAGAAGCTGCGCATGACGTGCTGATACGGTAGCAAGTCTTTGTTCGGCGGGTAGCTGTGACGAGGATTTATTCCTACGGTGAGGTTCAGCGGCAAAAACAGGACGTCCGGATCACCGGCGTCGAGGGCGACTAGCCGTGCATCCGGCGAAACGTCCGCCTCGGTCTCATCCGTCGCCTCCTTCAGATCCTCCAACCCTCGGGATGGTTCCTGTCGAGCACCCTCACCCTGCACGTCACTGGACATCGTCGAGTAACCCTCGTCTCTATTCCCACTCTCCGGGCTCTCGCTGCCCTCCTCCTCTGATGGCTTCTGGGCTGAGTTTTGTCGGAAAATAACTTTAATATTATTATGTTAGCAGCACCATGGCAGAGGACACTTTGCGGTGTAATTTATCAATCAGCGGGAAGAGAGTTACATCTTCCAAAAAAGTCTCTCTCTCTTTCTCACACACTACTGCTCTGGTTATCTTTAACCCTTTCGATACTAACGGCGGCTATAGTCGTCCATAAAGAATTCGCAAGAAATTTTATAAAGTGTAAGTACTGTAAAACGTGACAAAGTATGATTTCTTCCCGCCAATTCGTTACATTGTACGGCAAAATTTCACTGCCACGCTTCTTATCCGGTGAAGTAACGTCCGCGTCGTAGCTGTTCCCCGTTCAGTGGCAGCTTATACGCGATAAAACTCAACGGAGACGTAGCAGCCAAAGATGAAGCCGTATCGAAAGGGTTAATCTTCAACTCTTGCATCGTGAAAGGTGTATATAGGGTGGCTCGTTGAAAATTCAACGTCTACGTTATCTCCGCTGCTGTTGAAAGTATTTTATATCGTTGAACATACCCAAAGGTCTATTCCTGCGGCATTTCGTGGCAGCCATCACCGGTATTTGCAAATTCAGCGAGCGTGGCCTCGACAGGGGAACCCAAGCTGGATCCAGACCAAGTGCAGCCACTACTGCCGCCGGTCCAGCTTCGAGGATCCCTTGAATCAACTCTGACGGACTTCCAGGGCTCGCTGCCTGGGCCAATAATCCTGAAAGCGCTCGATTTTGTGCCTCGAGCTCCCGAATACGCCTCTGCAATGCACCGATTTCTTCCCTGAGACCCTATATGTACGAGAGAAGGAAAAAAGAGAGAAAAAAAATGACGGTTACATAGTGTTCTCGTTTCGAATCGAATGATTGGAGCGAAAAAAAAAAATGACGATAGAAAGCGCGTTTAGCGGACGAGCAACGTGGATACATTCGATTATGCTAAAACATCGATATTTCGACGTGATTATTTGCACAGATAGAAGCATCCGCTACGGTGGTAAACCTACGAAACAGCAGGCGCGAGCACATAAAACGATCGTTAATCTCGATAGTTTAGCATGGATAAGAAAACGAATCTCTCTAATTGTGTCTCTATTCATCTACTACGTTTCTTCTATACCGACGTAATTGTCAACAGTACTCTAGGTCAATTACTCGTGTTATTCGACGTATAATTCAATATGCACGGATACACACACTTGCAGCTTTACAAACTTGCAGCTCAGCAGATGGATTAGTCAGAGGGATCGATGTTAAGGATGAGAAGATCTGGTTAATCAAAAAACGTATACACTGTAAAGAAACAACGAGTGACACATATACGTGAAACGACAAATTAACAAACTGTGTTTATCACACGTGTGAAAAATCATATCTTAAATGTACGAATTAAAAAAAGAAAAAACCAAGAAGAAAGAAACAGAAATGTGAAACACACACACACACACACACCGTGTGTAAAACGGAAGAAAAAAAATGAAGGAAAGAAATTAGTAGAGAAAAGACGAGTTTCGGAGGACGTGGTAACGAGAGCATAGCAATGAACCTTTTGGGATAGGAGGGCGCGGACCACCTGGTTGGCGACGTCGTCCAGGCACCGCTCGTATTGGCGACGCTGAGCGTCCGCGTCCCGCGCCAACGCGGCGTGTTCCGTTTCCAAGGTCGCCAGACGTGCCACCAGTGCAGCATGCACCTCACCAGCACACGCAGCCTCCAAACCACGCAGCTGACCCCTCATCGACTCGTTCTCCAGCTGCAGCTTGGAGATCTGCGCTTGATACTGATGCACGCGTGCCTGTTACGGGAGGAAGAAAAGGAAATCATCGGTACTCCAATTCGCGACATTTCTTTCTAGGGTCAAGAGGTCACAGATAATTCCATTTTTCATTCGTCAGAGATCTTCGTTGCTACAGTACAGAGTGCCGTGTGAAAATTAATCGTTCGATATTCGAGTCGCTCGGAAGCCAAAGTGTGACTAATTGCATCGAATTAAATTTATTAAATTCTTTTTCATTTACGAAGAGTTGAGCATGTGCTTTGACACTAAAATTGGAAGAATTTCGAAAAGTGAGGTTCATCATTTCGGCTCCCGAGTGGCTCGAATATTGAAAAACGAAGGAACTCGTCTAAGATGCGAAAGGGTTAACCGTAAAATTTTCCAAACGTCACGTTATACGCAGGTATTGGAAAAATCGTCGAATCTGTGGATCGTCTTCGCAGAAGACAAACGCTACAGTTCGAAGGAGAACTCGACCGCGACCCAGGTGTGCAGCTTCCGCGAGAAACCGCTGCAGCCCGCAGCCAGAGTTAATAACACGAGGTGGTCGTTATTAGCAGAAAAGCGTTTAACGTTAAATTAGGGCTGTGGAGACCTGTCGGAGACAGGGGTGCTAATAGAGGGTGCGTGTGTCTGATTTATAACAGTCGTGCCAGCCAGCCGGCCCTTGCTAATGTCTACACCCCCTTCTTCTTCCGAAACTGAAGGGAACGCCAACGATTTTCTGTCATCTCGCGACCAGCCATGGAGGGAGAATATAAAAATACAAACTGGCCGCTTCTTCTTCCAAGTCTCGCTCTCTCTCCCTACGCAACAACTCATTTCTCAATCGCTTCTCTCATGCTCAGAAATACCTCCTCCGTTCGCTATACCTAAGAAAAACGAAGAAGAAGAGGATTCTTCGAAGCTGCACACTTCCAATCGCTTCGTCGTAATTTGTTATCACGTTTGACAGGTTCTACGCGTTTCTCAATCGAAGCACGCATCGGTGTCGGGAAATTTCTAATCTAACTAAAGGGCTGGCGTCGGCTACGACAGCTTGAGGAACGCTACTGAGTAACGGGAGTTCCTTGAATACACGTATACTTGATTCCTGGGGAAACGTAGACCGGAGGTAGAAACGATTTTTTCGGCAAGTTTAATCAAGCTAAGTTCAACTCGATTTCTCTTGCTATGTAAAAATGTTGCCTTTTCGCTATCCTTTTATCTACTTATCGGAGAGAGTAACAGAAAATTCGAGTCTGCATTTTCTCTCGCGTGGAGTTCGAAAAGTTTCCAACCTATCCCTAGAATTGGAAGAAGTTTCAGATTAACCACGAAGTCAGTGATAGATAAGATAGAACAAAGTGTAAGAAACACGGTGAATAAATGATTAAAAAAGAATTCGAGCAATCTAGAACGACGAAAGCCTCGAGAAATTAGACGAATTTATCTAAAAATCCTCTGTTTCGTCGATGCAAAGATTCTTATCGCCAGGCAGATAACTCGAGGAAATTTTTCGTAATTAATTTGCACAGCGTAGAATCTCGAAGCAATTTGGAGAAGAAGAGAAGACAGGGTGCACGTTTGTAAAGTAAAATAGAACGGCTACAGAGAAGAACACTTGCAAAGCGTGCTTCCTCATGGTCGACAGAGGGATTTTCAGTTGGGGGGCTTGGGACATTGGTGGGGCGGGTCGACATTGAACCAGGGGATCGAGTGACGATCGATAATAAACGGTATTTCGTGGGGCAGTGATGCACACCCCTCGTCTCTGAATCTACGACTCTTTTAGAAGCAAACCGGCCGTGAACGAGATAGTGCGTGCCATTCTAAGGGTTCGCAGCAAACGCGACCGTTTACCGTTTCCTCCCTTTTCATTGCAGCCGACCAACGCTGCTGCGTTACTTCGTTAAGTCAGGAATATTGGCCGTTGGCAAATATGTGGCAAAAGTATCGTCGGTTATATTGCAAGCACGGTGGTTGCTGGTCGCCGAGACTGAAATTGGGCAATTTCGTTGCTGCGCTTCAAACACTCGGCCATTTTCCTCTGCCTCTTTGTCTTCATCTTGCTTCTACATTTTTTAATTAGTCGCATATTTTTTAATAGGATAAACCAGGTGTAACTGTCGTCTTGTATAGTACAGTCTGTGGAATGAACATAGTTAGGTTGGGAAATCAGTCGAAGTAAACACGTTTCGAGTGTTCTGACAAGGAAAAAATGAGGACGAATTTATTAGAAAATAAGAGTTTCAAAAATTAACAAGGCTAATTGACATTTTTAATTTTTCTGAGAATACACGAAACACTGTTAGTCGTAGGTAGGCTATAACTACTTCGAAGACGATCATTTTGATCCCCAAGAAAGTAGCTTAGAAAAACTTGTACAAATAGAGTCTCTACTTTCGGAGGAAGTCAAGTAGACGCTTTAGAAGGTAGAATAATAAAATGAATTTTTAGCTACGAGGGATACCTATTTTGTATTTAATTTCCTTCTCGTCCAATCAAAGTTACCTCTCCTCTTCTGTTCGAAACACTCCAAAGTACTCGAACCCCTTCCACAGTTCCATTCACTTGTATCGAGAAGTTAATTGAAACGCCAAGTCTGATCGCAATCCCATACCCCCGCGACCAGGGATCCTTTAATCGCGACGATCGACTATTTGTAACCGGGCGCGGTATCGCGCGTTCTTCCGTTCGTTGTTGCGTGTCGCGGATTAAAAGTACCGGATAAGGGGGTGGAAATAAATTGCGTTACGTGAAATCAACAACGAGACCGTAGTAGCGTTTGGCTGGTTGGTTTTGTGTAGTCGTCAGGAACAATCGTACACGACAGGTTCCAGGTGAAATACAATAACAGCTTGGCTACGAGGGAGCTTATTGGACCAGGGGAAAGCTCTTTGCGCCAGTGTTATCCTTGTCTCGACTTGTGTTTGTGCAAAACAAAAAAGAAAGTGAAAAAAAAAAGGAAGAAAAACATGGAAATAGCTGGAACAATATAGAGGTTTGGAATACTCCGTGTTCCATGGATTCTACGCAGAGAGAGAGAGTTTGGTAGTGTCTCTTCGTTATCTGTTCGTGCTTATCGACAACGGGACCAATGGCTGGATCCGAGGGGGACCATTTTGCCTTTCGTTTCACCCTGGCCTCTCAGGGTGCACAGCTAAAATCGGATGAACCACTCGAACGAATATAAATTTAAGGAGGACGACGCTCCATGGAATTGAAATCCCACTTCCCTTTTGGGGTGGAAGGGACTCGTGTTTCGATGTAACGCGAAATACGACCAATTATCGGCAAATCCTGCTCCTCTGGACCCGGAAGTTTTAACGTTCCTTCGATCGCGTGTAACCGATATCAATTTGGGTAACTAGCGAAAATTTTTTAGGAGTTTAGAATTGTTCTTGCTTTCTAATATTGAATATATCTATGTAAAGATGAACCTGACGAAAAGTAGCGAATTATTTATTTATACAGTGTTTTAATATATGATTTTCAAGCACCCTGTATTGCATTGTATTTTATTGGAATTTTTCTGTTTTTTTTTTTTTTTCGATTTGAGAATTTTTTTAACTGTGAAAACTTACCTCGTAAGAAAGCGTGAGCGCAGTTTTCTCCTGCTTCAGCTGTTCAGCCCTGTGCTTGTGCTGCAGCAACCCCCGTGACGTCTCCTCCATCCTGGAACAAATCGAATCCGCTTGAAGGAGCAGTCCAATTTTAATTCTCGTCGAAAAGATTCTAATTGAACCGAACCGCGCGGTCCTGGACTCCAATCTCTTTACCGTTGTTGTGCACGTTTCAATTGCTTCCACCACGCTAATTCTACCGTGAAATATTAATACTTCAGAATTCAATATAACCGAGCCCCCTACCCCCTGTTGCAATGTTGGTGAAATGCTCGGTCGGTAATAAAATTTGAGAAAAAAAAAGTAAATGATAATTGAAACGGTTTTACTAATGTCTGCGTGGCTACGGGAGTGAAAAATTCATCGTTTATTACACGGTTTCACGGTTAAACGGTTTGTAAATGCGAGCAATTTGCGCCGGAGTGCTTATGTTATCGTTATGATTACAGAGGTGAGAAATTGTTACGAAGAAGAGGGGGTAATGGATACAGTTGTGGGACATGTTGTCACAGCTGTGTCGCGAATAAAAGATCGCCCTCATTTGGAAGACAGTTGTGAGTGTACTTTGCAGCATTTTCCACCCCCACGATGAGTGGGACGCGTTTCGAATGTTCAACCATCTGTCGTGGGAGCAGCACTTCGGTTGGTGTAACGATGCCCTAGAAATTTTGAAGAAAAGACAGGAATGTCGATGTTCGGTGCTTTGTGTGCATCTTTGCGGAATAACATTTTTTTTGGGAAGGTTTCTTGGAAAACAAGGTTTTCTGCAGAACAGAATTTCTCCAAGAAAATTTGCCAAAGAACGACATTTCTCGGAAAATAAGATTTTCTGGAGAACAGAATTTCTCGGAAACCAAGATTTTCCGGAGAACAGAATTTCTCGGAAACCCAGATTTTCTGGAGAACAGAATTTCTTAAAGAAAATTTTCCAAAGAAGGAAATTTCTCGGAAAATAAGATTTTCTGGAGAACAGAATTTCTCGGAAACCCAGATTTTCCGGAGAACAGAATTTCTTAAAGAAAGCTTTCCAAAAAACAAAATTTCTCAGAAAGCAGTTGCTGGAGAACAGAATTTCTCGAAAAACGAGATTTTCTGGAGAACAGAATTTCTCGGAAACCAAGATTTTCTGGAGAACAGAATTTCTCGGAAACCCAGATTTTCCGGAGAACAGAATTTCTCAAAGAAAGCTTTCCAAAAAACAAAATTTCTGAGAAAGCAGTTGCTGGAGAACAGAATCTCTCACAGAAAAATTCTCCGAGAATGAGAAAAGATACTCCGGAAGAAGAATCAAAAAAGCGTACGACAGAAAGACTAAAATATACATAGAGAAGAGGGTTAGGGACTCGCCAAGTTTGGCCAGCCACTTTGCCAACAATCCCCTGTAGTAGTTCTAACCCAATAATTCACCAAGTGTACCCAGAGGTTTATCCACGAACGTGCACGTTTGTGCTTAGGCCAAAACGGAGAAAGTCACGGCCCCTCGTCGATGCGTGATTCGATTATCTATTTTTTTCTCTTCGCGTCGCACACGCGAACAACCCAAAAAGAGAATGAACGAACGTTGTTCTCCTCGAACAAATTTCTTCATGCGCACACTCCGCGGGTTTAATGATCTGATTAGAGATACAAGGAGGGTTCCGGAGGCTGAGATATGAAGCCGATTTAAGCTTTTCGAGGGAGACGAACCGAGGGCTCGCTTCCAACACGCTTGGCAACACCCTTTTCGTTCCTCCCACCACACTTCCTCTCCTTCCTGCTTCTTCTTGGCAAACTAACTTTCAAACTAACTGCGCTCTTCTCGGGGGCCACCGTCCAATTGTTTTCTATCGTAGAAGCCATCTGCAGGAACGCGGAAGGCTTTAATGAAGATTAATTGGTAATTACACTCTCTGGCACACGGTCGACCGAGCGTCCCGCTTTTTAAAGGGAAGAATTCCACTCGGAATGGACGTGACTTTGATGCCACTTTCTTCCCTGGATAATGAGTATTAAATGGACAGAGAAAGGGGTATACTTTTCAAGTTCGATATTACAGCTGTCTTTCTATCGATCTTTCGCATCCGAGCTAAACTGATTTATCAACCCTTTGCACTCTACTAGCGTCGCCAAGGCGACATTCGTAATATGCATCATAACGAGAGAAATAAAAATAAAGAAATTCATGAATATTTAGAATTTTTACTTTCCCAAACAAAATTTTGGATTTTTAAACATTTCACTGCATCACAGTTCCACTGATCTAGAAACAAATGCTTGGAGTGTAAAGGGTTAAACGAAATTTTGGCGTGCTTGGATTTAATTAATCTGTATTTAAAATAATTGTAAAAATGTTTGAAAATTGCGAGAATCCTTTCATAGTATCAAATTTTGGATATTATTTCTAACAAAGTTTTCTTCAACACAATACAAATTTTACCATAAAAGGATTGAACATTGAAGTCCTGCGCTGTCCTCGAAGAAAGAGTATAGAAAGTGTAACAATAAGAAGCTTAAAATACCCGACTTCCAGCGAAGCAAAGAAAGTAACAGAGGCGATAATGCAAAAGTTCGAAGCCAATTGACGAGCACAGCTAGTTCTGAACTTCATAATTAAAGGATTCCGCGAGTCAATAAGCGCCGAGATCGATTCCAATTGATTCTCTCTTTAAAAAACCTTCTTGTTCGTTTTTCTCCAGCATTGTCTCATAGAGAATTCGTTTGTGTACATATCAGATCGTGAAAAGAAACTCCGCGAATAAGCTGATTGTCGGAAGTTGCTTGTTCAGTCCCGTTTGGATTCTGTATGCTCGCGGAGTTCGAGGATGTTAATCGGCTTAAAAGTCCGCTCGTTAAAGTTCCCGGTTTACCTTAACTCCCGATGTGCTTTCGAAACGATTATGAAAATGGTCTCCGTCAAGATTGAAGCATCCGATCGGCCTTACGCGAAAGATAAACCGTCTGGGCTTTATTAACGCGTCTCTCCAGCTCCAGGTGACAAACCCCGCCATCTTCTTATCCCGTTAGCGTATCACCCTTCTCGCTACTTTTACGCCCGTTTCTCGTTTCCATCTCGTTTACCATAATACCGCCTCACCGCGGAATTTTTTCCGATACTAGACGGGTCGCTGCGTTTAAAAACGCGATACAGCCCTCCGTTTCATCATTTTTGTCACGCTTCGAATACCTTTACGGTGGTTTAAGAGTGTTTCAGGTATTTCGGCGCTTCGAGCATTTCTGTTTTACCAGTTTCAACCCTTTACCACTCGAGTGATATCTTTAAAGACTTCCTTTCGGGACACATTTTCTGTGGAAAATTGGCGATTACTCTTTCGGTGAGAAAACAGAACGTTGAATTTTATTTTGTAGTATTTTCAAGTGTGAGTTTCTTGAGATGAATATCGACGGTGTTGGAATTTTGGGACAGAAAGAAAATTTTCGGAAATTTTAATCAGAGAGTAAATTTTCAGAAATTTTAATCAGAAAGGAAATTTGGGAAAGATGGTGGTATGATCGTTGAAATAACGAGAAATTACTGTGAAAAGTGTAAATTTTGTTAGGTGTACGTTCGAAGAGGTTTAGCAAGGGTGGTGGTTGATGAATGTTAACGAACGAAGGGAATCTCTCTTATGGGGATAACGCAATAATTCCCAGGATACAGAAGTAACCCCGTAACCTCCTTCATTAGAGTTTTACCGGGAGGTCGATCCCAACGACGACGAAACGGGGAGACTTTCCAACGGTGATTCCGCGTAACTTATCAACCAGGGTGCCATTTCAGGCGCTAGGCTTAAGAACAATGCTTGGCAAACAGTAATTATAAGTGCAAATAGAAGAGCGATTGTCAACGGGGCAGTCATACGATGAATAATCAAGATTGCAGCCCTAAGGGTTAGAGCTTCACTTTGCACATCGTCCCTTTATGCTCTTCCTCCAAGATTCCACGGATTTCGTTCGTCTCTGATTGTTTGATCACGAGAAACTTCAAATAGAACCTGATGACTACCGCTGAACTGATTAGTTCTACCCCGTAATAAGATTTCGATTCGGAGTTTCGGCTCGAATGCATCTTTCAACGTGTGAACTCATGCTCGGGTTCGGAACGATCGCGCTCGAATTCAAATTCTAACTCAAACTCAAATGTAAATTCAAATTTAAATTTATTCAGACTCGAAGTCGAATTTAAAAATAAATTCCAGGTCAAATTTAAATTCAGATACAAACTCAAACTCAATACACATTCAAACTCATATTGACACTCAAACTCAAATGTAAATTCAAATTTAAATTTATTCAGGCTCGAAGTCGAATTTAAATATAAATTCCAGGTCAAATTTAAATTCAGATACAAACTCAAACTCATTCGAACTCATATTGAAATTTTAACACAAATGTGTATTCAGACTCAAAGTCACATTTAAATTTAGATTCAAATTCAAAAATCTTAATTGAATTCCATCTCCGCATCGCGAAACAAGAGACAATGGACGCAATCTGCGCCATCGATCATCGCCATTCAAATTATCCCCCTAGCCATCGCGACAAACACTTTTTCTCCCCGCTAATTAAATCCGAGAACAAATTTCACGCTTTCTTCTGCTCCCAAAGCGTCGCCAACTTTTTCCTCCGCGGCGTCCACGGTTGCGTTCTTCACTTTGAGCAAAAATAGAAAAAAAATACTGTGTTTGGAT